AAGTGAAAGTTTTCAAAATCTCATAATAAAATAAATTTTTATGCGGTACAAATTAAGAAAGGATGATATTGTGTACTCCTAGTGATCAATTATACAGGACCCTTTGGTTCACGATATCAAAAAATCCTTAAACTTTTAGTATAGTGTAATTTGAAAAATAATTAAAAGATGAGTTTTAGAAGTTCATCTCATAAACTGATTTACTATCACCAGAATTTCACAATTCACTTGTGCATCATTTCGATAAAAATATTCTTTCAAGGCTATGGCTGCAACAACAACAAACCGACCGCAGCATTCCACCCATACCCACCGTCCGCACTCTCATGGAACGCGCCCCACTCACGAGGCATCAGTGGGAGAATCTTTCTCATTCTACTACGACTATCACACGGTAAATAAATTTCTTTACTACTAACCCAAATAACAAAATGATCTTGTTTAATGACCTGCAGGTAATTCTTGCAAGGGTTTGAAGCAAACCACTTTTTATTTTCATATCTTGCAAGCACATTTACTGCTATTTCAAGTATAATGTAAGTTGCTTACTTTGACAAGACGTGATTTAGTACATTTCTCTTTTTTGCTTGAATTTTCAGTAAGGCGTGACATTCTCGGCTATACATAATTAGCGTCTCTCAAATAGTGACCTAGATTTTCATTGGTTGCCAGATAAGCTCATCAATACTGAAATTTACACAGCTTTCATTCACGGGTGAAATGCACATTGGATAAAAGTGGCGTCAACGAGTGACGCAAGGATCCAATCACATCGTTTCTTACAATAAAGAGGTGTGGTTTATGTCATCTCATCGTTTGTTAACAACAATCTAAGGTTGCTAATTAATGTTATTCATTTTATAACCAATGAGAATGTAGGTCACCATTTGAGAAACGCTTATTACGTATCGCTGAGAATGTCACGCCTTACTGAAAGTTCAAGCAGAAAAGAAAATTATACTTAATGAAGTAGAGAGACTAGGTTGCGAGACAAGTTTATCATATATTTGGAGTGAATTCCTTTTCCTGATACATGTATAATAGGTAGTGAAATATACAAATATATGATGTATCTTTTTTGTTCATTATCATTGTAGCATATTTTGTCAGTAAGATCTGGACATACGTGTTATCTGTATAAAACAAGTCCACAGGAACAGATGGACGTTCATTCTTCACATGGACTTCATACAATTGAGGTAAAAATATAATAAAATAAAAAAAAATGATATCATGTTAATGATCGACTTAGTTTTTATCCAAAAGCGCGATGCTTTTTCCTTTGGTGAGAAAAAAGTGAAGACACTATTGGAGAACTGAGTTACGTGATTGGTAACTTGGGCTTTAATGGATTTACAGATAGACAAAAGAGTCAACAAATTGTTTCAGGATTGTCTCTCTGCTTTGCAAACGACACAAAACGGAGAAAGTCCTCGACTAAATAACCCTTTTACATTTTTACCAGAGTATTTGAAATTCGAAATTGGCTTCACTGGAATGACTCAATGTTTCACAAACATCTTTTTTCATGAACAGTTTAAAAAAACAAATAATATTCCACGTAAAAATATTCATTTTTTAGAACATAAAACTGTAAACGACTTATTTGGAAAACCTAGACCTTTTTGGTTGTTTAAAACCTGTAATAAGATTTTTTTTTTACAAAATGTAAAATACCTCCCACTTTTAACTCGAAAATGAAATTAAACATTTATATGACACAGATAAAAAAAAAAATGTTTCGTACATTATGTACGTGTGTAACACATAATAAAGATTCGCCGGAACCGATCATCGACATAAAAGAAAGGGAAAAATTATATATTTTTGTCTTTAAAATCTTGCATGAGACTCATAACTTAATACGCTTGAAGGAATTCATCTTGTTTAAATGTTTTACATTTTTATTTTCCTCAGAAAAATGTCATTGATATCATCGACTCCAATCCAACTATGGTCTCCATAACACACGATGCTCTGGTTGCCATGCATGCAGGACACATATGTAACCCGAAGCACTACACCAATGTCTATCAGATTAACTAGTTCGCTACAGCAAATAAGTGGACTCCACTCATTTATTTGTTAATAAATGATTCATGATATAAAAGTTCCAAGAAATCATGTTTTGTTTTTCATATCTATAAAGTAAAGAACAAACTGTAACAGAGATAAATACATTATTTCTTGTATATAGTGAGGCCACATTCCTACTAGCACTAGTTAGTAGGATAAACCTTTAACTCAGATTTTTAGATAAGGTTTAGGTTAAATCCACATTTAGACGCCCCCTAGCTAGTCGGTCATATTGCTGCACAAGTACAGAAAGCTACATGAAATGTGACGTTTGTAGAATCTCGTGTGCAAAGCTTTCTTAGAGGTAAGTAATCTCAAGAAAAAGGGGGGAAATGTAACAGAATTAAATTACATATTGAAAAAATTCTACTAGAACTATCTTGTGGGTCACCATTAAGCTCAGTTGGAAGGACATTGGATTTTATATCTGAGGTTTGTAGGTTCAAGACACATTGTGGACAACCCTGGTTAATCGGTCAGATTGTTGCTGAAGTACAGAAACTAACATGAGATGTGGTACCTCGTGCGTAAGATTTCTTAGGGGTATCAAATCTCAGGAAAGAGTTTTTAAAAGTGTAACAGATTTAAAAGTACATAGTGAGGCCAAGCTCCTATGAGCACTATCTTGTGGGTTTTAACCATTCAGCTCGGCAGAGCACTGGATTTTAAATTTAAGGGTTGAAAGTTATTGTTGAAAGCCAAATTGTTGACATTCACAAACTGATCGGTCATACAGCCAATAAGAATGTTTCGATTTCGCATAAGGTCATGGTCAATTGTCTAATTCGGAGTTCACTGCAACCAACCTGGCCCGCAAGGTATTCTTTTTAGAGAAGAGGACAGGCTTTCGCCTTTGTAGGCAAGAGCCTGTCCACTTCTCTAAAGAGAATAGCAGGAAGGTACCAAGTTCTTACAATATTATGTTCGAATTCCTTTTGCTACATACATATGCTAGATCATGTTTTAGCTCACCTGGGCATTCAAAGGGCTTCTCTGCTCACGTGTTATTTTATTCATGTTTTTCTTTCGCCTGCTGTCATTTACAATTGAACTTTCCTATATTTTCAATTGCTCAAAACCACTGGGTTAACTTCAACTAGCATGGCATAAAATATTCATATTTTTCGGAGGTTAGCGTTAAAAAGAAAAAGGCCCTCATTAGAGGAAAAATCGTGAAAATGGGAAATACTAACGCAAAAAAAAGACAGAAACTTAAGTGGAGGCTTCTTCAACGGCTAAAGGTTCAAACTACATATGTATACATACCTATATACACGGGGACATAGCATCGTTTTTGAAGAGGGGGGGGGGGGGCAGCCAGAGAAAAAATTTCAACTTACCTGAAAGAAAAGGAAAATTGTCCAAACTCGAAAAACTTATTTCGTCTGTGTGTAGGGGGGGGGGGGGGTTACGTTCCCACTTTTTACAGTAACAAATTTTATTCATTACAACTACATTATCCTTATTTGAACAAACAGCAACAAAAAATGATGCTACGTGCCTGATATATACATGTTGGTCCCAGGTTTTTTTTTACTTAGAAAATCAAAATTATCTTTTCAAGAACTATTAAGAGGACTAATATACAAGCATTCTCAGGTAATGTACATGTAGATTCACATTTGTTTAAATCGGTTGGGTGAGTGGCTCCAGGTTTTTGCATGGAAAATAATGTTCAAGACTAGATTTTAAATGCTTAAGACGGTACGCCCATGTAGTATTCATTCAAAATTGTTTAAATCATGACTCTCAAACTATATGGGTTTTTTAATTAATAATTTTGAATGTTTTCATATTAAAATGGGCTCTTCGTGGTCTTTTTCAAGTAAACATTTGTCGACAGAAGATGCATATTTTCATATTTGCATATTTGTGTATCGAATGCATCTTCTGTCGACAGTGTTATCATCCCCATTTCATTATGAATTAGGCGAGCACTGTAATCCCTGTTTGTTGTCTTGTAGTATCTTTATACATCTCCTTACAAAACATGTATATACAGTGATTATAAAGAGATGATTTTTTTTAATTCACCCTATTTCAAAATCCAAAATCAGTTTCCCACTGTAAGGGGCCATAACATTAATTTTCTTTCAAATTTCACTATCAAGGGAAGTTTGATACATGACAAGTGTCTTCTGTATAAAATGCTGTAAATATGATTCTGTCAAAAAAAAAATTGTCTCTAAGGTTGTAAATCTCTATGTTTTCTTAATTTCAATCACTGATGTCTTAATCAATATTACATGTATCAGATCTGTTGTTACCTTTACAAATATTCTAGCCCTGTTATTTTAGTCACAGTAGATTAAATTACATGTAAGATCACTGGATATAAATATGACCAGTGAAATGGCTTCCATTTCACTTTTGACACAAAATGCACATCATCAGAATGCATCACAATATCTTTTTTTTCACAATAATGTTACCCATCAATGTAGTTTATAATTTTTAAACTGATCTTCAACTATCTCTCAAGAAAAAAAAAACAAAAACAGACATCCATACATTTGAGAAAGTTGCGTGGTTTTGAACATTTTACATTCATTAAACTGTTATTTCCTTCAAACAAAAATAGGCTTTGTACAGGCTCTTTGTACAGTTCTTTGGGAAAATTTTTTATCATAAGCACTCAGCATTTTTGCAATGTTTAGCTTTTGAGATAAATATAATACCTGTAACAGAACATGTACATAATCAACACTGGAAGATTAGAATTCTTTCAAATTATCACATCAGCCTTTTTTCAGGAGCAAAAGTTTTAATAAAATTTTTTATCCCATTTGCTTCATAAATGTTGAACATTTTCACAAATCAGTTACAAGAAAAAATCATTGCTTAAAAAATTTTTCAAACTTATATATTTACATTTTCAAGAATTACTGTTCCATGCTGCAGCAAAATGGTTTAAATAGAAAAGTAAATGAATATCAAATTTATTTTCAACCATAGTAAAACAGAATAGAAAGTACAACTATTATATTATACATGTCAAATGCATTTTGAAGAATGTGCATTATTCCAATGCAATTTCTACATACATGTAGTTAAACAAGTTCAAACAGTATTTTTTTCATGCGTACTGCTTTACTAACAAAGGTACCTAAAACAGAAGTATTACAGTTTTATACAAAATAACTGTAAATATATCACAGAGACATTAAATAATAAATATAACAGACATAAACACATGTACTAATAATAAAACTCAGTGGAATTCTGGGTAACTGGATCGTATACAATCTAGCTCAAAATGACATACATTTACATTTCCCTACATTAAACGTGTGTCCTAATCATTAGAATTGTTGGTGATGGGTGGTATACAATCCAGCTCAGATCGACATACATTTACATTTCCCTACATTAAACATGTCTCCTAATCGTCTTCATCACTATCTGCATCCAAATACCTGCTCCCCTTTTTCATTTTAAACATCATATTAGCTCCAATATCAGAGCAAGCCTCGGACCTCTTCTTCTGCAACCAACAACAGAAAAAAACTATCAACTCTCTGGATGCAATGCACAGCACAGTAAAGCAAAATAATGAAATTTTCACTATAAACATTCATTATATCCGTATCTGATGAATTTTAATACAATTTAAACTACACTGAATGAAAATCACTTTGCTGTATATGTGAATTCCTTACATGTACACTAAGTCTTGTATACAGAGGATATTCAATGTTTTGTAGATGAATATGGAATTTATTTCACGAGTGGAACAGGATTTTTTTCATATTTTCACGAGTGCGTAGCACGAGTGAAAATATCAAAAAATCCTGTCTAACGAGTGAAATAAATTCCATATTCATCTACAAAACATTGAATTTTCTATTTATTACATTTTCTTTGATTTTCCCTTTGCCTCTGTCTTTTCTTAACACAGTGTCATAGGCTTGACGTCATAGTTGAGCGGTTGAGATGTCATAGCTTAGCAGTTGTGTGATTGAAAACATTACATAGCATGGATTTTAGCAACATATTTGGGATGAAATTTGCAGTTTTAGCTCTATCAAGATGCTTAGTTACTATCTCTATCTTATGACAGGCCATAAATTATATTTTACTTACTTTGATATCCTTTCACACTGTGAGAGAATATCGTTTTGGTATCCTTTCACACTGTGAGAGAACATCACTTTTATTCAATAAATAAATCACAGTATTTCACTTTTGAAAATGTAATAAAATGTTTATATTATATATGATATGTTACCTTTTGCATCCTTATTGTCATATCTTTCAACATTTCATAGTTACAGAGGAGGTTATGTTGCACTTTCTTTTCAAAATAAGATTTGATAAGTTAAACCACGCAAGTATCGTCAATATTTGAACGTACCAGTTTGTGTGATTTGCTAAAGAATCCAGCTTTTGATTTTGCTGCCGCTGGTTCAGAGCGTGTTCTGGTCTCTGGAGTTTTAGCCATGTCAAACTCATCATCAGAATCTTCCTCATCACTGTAAGTTCTTCCAAAAGCTTTTCTCTCTTCCTATTGAAATTAATTAATTAATTAATTAAGGTAATGACCTTTCACTGTGTTACAGCCGAGGTAATGTTGTTTTTGTTATTGAATATCACAAACAGGAATTTATAGGCTTTATATATACATGTACTTCTAACATACTGATTGATAAAAGTTCTGGAACATAAATCCTTTGTCTTCCTTTAGTTGAAGAGAGACATTGACTTTCTTCTCAGTTTTCTTATACATTTATATTTGAGCAATAAATTCTGTATTCTACAACTTAGGCTTATATTTGCAATGCATGTTCATCACAGTGATCATCATTAAAATAAACCTATGAAGTACCATGAACCACTAACGAGTCCTTGACTTTCACTTTGGAATCAAAAATTACAATGAATTATAAATTTTTTTCACAGAGAGGTGAAAATGTCTTGTTCATTTTTTTTCCCAAAGTCTGCATACTTCCATGATCTATTGTCTCTAAGTCATTTTTCTAGTTTTTCTTTTTCTTATAAAAAAGGTACTGTTCAAGCAAGAACTTAAGTATCTCTAACCTACATGTCCATGTCATTGCACAAAAAGTACGCTGAAGACTGATAGATTTACATGAGTAACCCTGTATCCCCCTTCTCATATTCAATGGTAGAAGTGTAAAAATCCAGCATATACAGTATTAGGAACACAAGTTTTTACCCAATAATTCCTAGGAATCCATTCACACTGTACTTCAGTACATGAACCCAAGCTATTTTACATTAATTTTAAAACGGAAAACATTTTGTAAGATATGAAATCAAATGATCTACATGTATTAAAATACACTATTATATTCAAACATAAATACAATGTGTGATCATAAATAAAAGCAGGTTTTAGTGCTAGATAAGATCTCACAGGAATGTAGAACTTGCCTGCTGCCTAGCATTGATGTAGTGATCCATTGATTTGATTTTCCCAAACATCTTTTTGTAGGCTTTCTTCTGATGTCTTCCTTCTTCTGAGACACTTAAAAATGAAAATATCTCATCTCAAAAAAGGTGACACTTAAAAATGAAAATATTTCATCTCAAAAAATGTGACACTTAAAAATGAAAATATCTCAAAAAAGTGACACTTAAAAACGAAAACATCTCATCTCAAAAAAGGAGACACTTAAAAATGAAAACAACTCATCTCAAAAAAGGTGACACTTAAAAATGAAAACATCTCATCTCAAAAAAGGTGACACTTAAAAATGAAAACATCTCATCTCAAAAACTGTGATACTTAAAAATGAAAAACATTTCTTTCATCTCAAAAACTGCAAGTCTTGAAAATAAAGCATCTCATTCTAAAAACCGAGAAACATCAAAATGAACTAGGATATATTTTCTCAGAACCTTTTGCACTTAACCCATGAGAATATCTCATCTCAAAAATTATCACATTTATAAATGAGGAAATCTCATCTCATAAAACAATTCCACAAGCATTTTTTTTCTCCAAGTATCATCATGAATCTTTTGGAAATAAATGAATGAGCAATGGCTTTTGTTACCATCTTGGAATAAATTTTTGAGTTTTTTCTTACTTTGTAAACCTCCATGCTAGTCTTTGGTTCATCAGCGCTCTACCCCTGGACTCTGTGTACTGACCACCCAGGGCCAGAGCAGAGGATGTCTGAGCTGTATGGGCTCCCAACACTTTTAAATCCATGTCTAAAAAAAAATTCAATAATCACTAAATTATCATTTATCAGTAATGTTTTATGAAATAAACATCCCTAATCAAGATGCCTTGTTTGCTACAGAGGTACATTTACAATTGACACAAGCTGAGAGTGTTTTACAATTTAGTTCATTTAATCATGGATTTTACACACTGTTCCCTCCCCCTCCTCTCTCTCTCTTTGAAAACTAATTAGAACTGTTCAAAAGGGACAAATACCCCCCACTGGGTTTTTCAGAGAAGGTGCCAAATCACTAATGTTTTCTTGATCTAAGAGATGTCCACAAATTGCTTAAACATTTAGAGTGATTTAGAGTAATTTTTTAATGAATGAAACTAAGGTACAGCCTAATAAAACATCAATACTAATAATGACATTGTTTTTTTTTATTACATTGAAAAAAATAGATTGCAACTATCTGTCATCTTTGTGAGACATGACACTCTGCAAATTGATTGTTGAAAAAAAAAATCATTTTTTAATTATAAAAAATCAAATTAATCTTGAAAACATTATATCAAAATCATTTTAAAAATAAAAGGCTGGTCAACCAGTAACTAAGTACTTTGACAGACTATAAATTACAAGTAAGAGACTTAAAGAACAGAGATCTTTATTTCTTTCTGTCCACATTCCCAGGAGATATAGATAACACCTGCTTGATCAGAGATGCCCTAACAGCTTCCCACACAGAACTCATTAATTAATCTTTAACTGGATGCATCTCCACTCATAACTCCCAAGGGACAAATGGATTTACGCTAACTGATTTGTAATGCACTGTGTATAATAGAAAAGGCATATCTATGTCATTCTGTTAAAAAACAAAGAATTTTTTTCTTTTGTTACAAAGCTTTATATAATGAAAAAAAACTGTAATCTTAATGTAACATTTTTAATAAGGTTACTGCATGACTCTTAGATTTGTAGGGACTACCTATCAAAAAACTTTTTTTTAATACTTGGTGATTTTATTTTTAGTTTTAATGAGTAGTTTTAAGCTGCAGTTCACATTTTTGTACAGATGTACCAACTGGCAGTTCTAGATTCTATGTCTCAAACCTACATAAACCAAAAATGACTGTCAATAAAAATGAAAAAAAAAAAACACCTGTAAAATGCAGAAAAATTACCCAATAATGATTAGGGATGTGCGATTTTATCGGTATACCAGTATACTGCGATTTTTTATTGTGTGATACGTATCGTGATACGGAGACTGAAGTACCGGTATTTGGTACATAACTAAAAATTCGGAAAATTATTCATTTACTTGTTCAAATTATTGAATGACAATTACAGGAAGTGTAAAAAATGTTGAAAACAATTAAATAACGGCATTCAAACATGTTTTCATTAAATAAATAAAAAGTAAACAAGAGGCCCATGGGCCACATCGCTCACCTGAGCACACTGGCTAGGAAAAAAAGCAAAAATCAGTTCAGTATTGAAAAGTTAACGGGGGAGAGGGGGGGGGGATGGGGGATTTTAAACTACCAATGCTTTCATATCAATATAACAAATAACTTTGCTGTTCTTGAGCAGAAGATTTTTCCCATATATTCATTTGTAAAAATTTGATCCCCCATTGTGGCCCCACCCTACCCCCGGGGGTGCTCATTTGAACAATCATTTGAACGATGCTTCCATAAGTTTTTTTCAATATACTCTTATGAAAAACTTTGACCCCCCCATTGTGGCCCCACCCTACCCCCAGGGGTCATGATTTGAACAAACTTGAATCTACACTACCTGAGGATGCTTTCATATAAATATGACCAATCATGGCTTTGCCGTTCTTAAGAAGAAGATTTTTAAAGATATTTTCCTATATATTTCTATGTAAAACTTTGATCCCCCATTGTGGCCCCACCCTACCCCTGGGGGTCATCATTTGAACAAACTTGAATCTACACTACCTGAGGATGCTTTCATATAAATATGACCAATCATGGCTTTGCTGTTCTTAAGAAGAAGATTCTTAAAGATATTTTCCTATATATTTCTATGTAAAACTTTGATCCCCCATTGTGGCCTCACCCTACCCCTGGGGGTCATGATTTGAACAAACTTGAATCTACACTACCTGAGGATGCTTTCATATAAATATGACCAATCATGGCTTTGCTGTTCTTAAGAAGAAGATTCTTAAAGATATTTTCCTATATATTTCTATGTAAAACTTTGATCCCCCATTGTGGCCCCACCCTACCCCTGGGGGTCATGATTTGAACAAACTTGAATCTACACTACCTGAGGATGCTTTCATATAAATATGACCAATCATGGCTTTGCCGTTCTTAAGAAGAAGATTTTTAAAGATATTTTCCTATATATTTCTATGTAAAACTTTGATCCCCCATTGTGGCCCCACCCTACCCCTGGGGGTCATGATTTGAACAAACTTGAATCTACACTACCTGAGGATGCTTCCATATAAATATGACCAATCATGGCTTTGCTGTTCTTAAGAAGAAGATTTTTAAAGATATTTTCCTATATATTTCTATGTAAAACTTTGATCCCCCATTGTGGCCTCACCCTACCCCCAGGGGTCATGATTTGAACAAACTTGAATCTACACTACCTAAGGATGCTTCCATATAAATATGACCAATCATGGCTTTGCCGTTCTTAAGAAGAAGATTTTTAAAGATATTTTCCTATATATTTCTATGTAAAACTTTTATCCCCCATTGTGGCCCCACCCTACCCCCGGGGGTCATGAATTGAACAAACTTGAAACTTCACTACCTGAGGATGTTTCTACATAAGTTTTATCTTTCCTGGCCCAGTGGTTCTTGAGAAGAAGATTTTTAAATGATGTCATTATTTTTTCACTAATTCCTAATTATCTCCCCTTGAAAGAGGGCGTGGCCCTTCATTTGAACAAACTTGAATCCCCTTCACCCAAGGATACTTTGTGGCAAGTTTGGTTGAATTTGGCCCAGTGGTTCTTGAGAAGAAGATGAAAATGTGAAAAGTTTACAACAACAACGCCAACGCCTACGCCAACGACAACGCCAACAACGACGACAGACAACGGACAAATTTTGATCAGAAAAGCTCACTTGAGCCTTTGGCTCAGGTGAGCTAAAAAGTAAAGTTATGTTTTTAGAGCATATTTTACAGAAATATTACAGAAATTAATTTGAAATTGTAGTAAAAATTGTGTGTAAAAATATCACGATTTATTGTGATATTTTTGGGGGAAAATTGTGATATATCATGATACAAAATTTTTGCCGATACCCATCCCTAATAATGATGAAAAAAGCAGGTGCACACCTTCATATGGCACTAAAACTAAAACTCTGTTTTTCATTTAAATTATTTTTATGTTTCATTTCCTGTAACTATCACTCTGTCTTACTTTTCTCGGCTTCCCTTCTGTCGTAGGTAATTGGACGACTTTGTGTTAACACTCTGAGAGCAGTAGCGCCCTCTGTGTCTGTGTACTTGACCACCAGCTGGAAAGGTAACTCCTTTAAATCATCTTCATTTGTCTCCATGGCTTCCTCTTGCCTAGGACCTTCTGTCTGTGGTTTCTTCTCACCTCCACTTGCTTCAATAAAACATCAGAAATCAAATTAATTTGGACAATTCAACATCTCAAAACTTAATGTTATGTAGGATCTGTTCAGTTTTTTTCAGATTTTGCCTTGAAAAAAATTCTTTATCAACCAAAATAAAATTATGTCAATACAAAAAAAAAATTGAATGAACCAAATCTTTCAATAATGCCAATATTTGTCAATAGTTAGTTTCTCAACTTGCTATGTTTGGCAAACTTTTGAGTTTTCATATTTAGGGGCCACTGAAATTCAGCAATGTTGTCATTATGGAACCTTTTTCAGATTGATATAAATATGTGTGAATATATAATTTTGAAATAATTTGTCAAATTAGACTTCCTACCTTCATCCCCATGTCCTGATTCTTCTGGGATAGCTGGAGGTTTTCCCTGATGTGTGTTGGTCTGACAGCGGACCCCGTACTCAAATGTGACCTCAGTGCTAGCGGTTACGTTTCCAACATTTCTCACAACCTTACTCTCCTCCGTTTCCTCATAATAGAAAAATCTGGGGAAAAAACATTTAAATGAATATACTGTGGAATCATTTTAATTTGTTGGGGTCAATGTTCATGGGCAAACAAATTTTACTTGTTCGTGGGGATGTAACTTTGTGGTTTACACATTTATACAGTAGATTCAATGAATCAATACCGGTATGCTTACAAAAAAAAATGTTCATGGGGATGTAAATTCGTGGGTAATGGTGACCCACAAAGTCCACGAACATTGGTCCCCCATGAACAATAATGATTCACAGTAACCTGCAGTGTAACTGTAGTGACTATTGAGAAAGTAAAACTAAAGTTACTAGTCTGTGACTTATTCTTACAGTCTTTTGTGGAGGTGACAGGTGGCTACCACATTTGTAGCAATGATCTGGTCAGCCAGAATGGTAGAAAATTCCTGAGTCAATTTTAATGGGTCAACTATGTTCACCTGTAATGTACAAATAATAACAATGACAAAAACATGTACTATAAACATGTACTTTTTCCCACAGGGTCATAATTTGGAGAACAACAATTTCTGTCCAATCAGTGGGTAGAAATCTTGGATTGCCTCTGTACATCTTCTGTACTCTTTGATATATTCCCACAGAAAATTTGACTGCAGGTTGTGTAAATTAATTCCACATGGAGAAAAGTACTGTATGTCTACAGTTTTTAATAATTTTTAAGAATAAGAGTAATTCAGATCCTTTTTTCACTTAATTACAATTCAAAAACCTGAAAATTAAAGACGAGTACCTGCCCCCCGGTCATGTCAGCTATCTTTCCCAGGTGAACCATTTTACAATCAGTACCTTTGATACTGATTACTGACACAGCAACCCTGAAAAATGTTCAATGTACTGAAAAAATTTATAAAGAAGAAATACAAGTTATATCATCTGACAAAACAATAAATGAAAAGCATGATCTTTAGTTAGTGTTTGATATATTAAACCTTATGTAATCTTTATCTCTCAGGTAACATTAAAAATCTGGCGGTTCTTAAGGATGCAGGTAAGTAAAGATATTGATGTAATCAGATTAATATCTACCCTTTGTCAGCTGCCTCTTGTCCAATCCCTTCATAAAACTGGGCTTCATTATCCATTTCCTCTCCGTCAACATCTAGTCGACCTAGACCTACATTGGCTTTACCATCAGTACAGATGATAACTTTTGAACCTGGGTGTTGTCCTGCCATTGTTGTTGCTATCAGCAAGGCGGGGCCTAAAGCTGTAGCTCCTCCCTCTTCCAGGCTGTCAAAGGATAGAAAGAAATTCAACTAAATGAACTTTTAAGTATAGTTTGCAAACATATATGTATACAGTATATTTCATTCTTATTATATTTAGGGGAGTTCTCATTTTTCTTTAGTCAGTTTCTAAAAATCTATATAAGGAAAATACTCATAATTTCAAAAGCTTATGCCAGGCCAGAAACAACAATATACGAGAATCTTAGATGTGTTAACAAGCAATTTTGAACAAAAAATATCAAACACTGAATGCCTTGCCCATGCCTATTGGTAAGAGCAAAATAATGCAGTAATCTAACTATAATTAAAACTTTTCACATTTTTATTAGATGAACAATTCCATTAAATATACCTATTTTTCAGTATCAATATTTAGAATGGAGTTCTGCATACCCAAAAAGTTTATCCCCTAGAGTGCCCCTGGAGCCCTTAATGGCCCCTGGCATTTTGATCTCTGATCCTTTCTCTTTTAGGTCATCAGGTTTGGTCAGCTTGTCCCCAGCCACTGTGACAGGTGTCTCACTTCCATCTCCAACAATTGTCACCTACAAAAGGTATACCAAGGTCACTTTTTGGTAAACTGGTTGCAGGCACTAACAGGTACAGGTAACAGGTACAGCATACAAAAATCTTCACAATGTCATGAAACAGCAGGATCAGTAAAAATGTTTCAGCAAATTATATAATGGAAAACTTCTCTAAAAAGTTCACAATCACATTTTAAAAATTTAAAAGAAATGTTTTTTATCAACCACCTGAATTTACATCACAATCTAAATGTGCTACAATAAATAATTTGTCCCTGACCTCATTGTTGAAGGTGATAAGAGCCACTCTTCTGTTGGGGTGTTGTTTCAGCATTTCCTCCAGTTGATGGTCAACAGCTGCCTGGACAGCCTGGAGTCGTGACACGTACGTCACGTTACGTCGCTCGTTAGGCAGGTGCTGGTCAGACCTGTCTGTATTGAGAGACTGGAGTCGGGCTACAGATCCACGAAGATTGATTCTACCTGGAACCTAGAAGAAAGATTCCACTGAATAAGAGCATTGGCTTGGTTAAATGCATTCATAATTGTTATGAAAAAAAAATTATTTTGCCATTTTGAGAACAGCCTCTGTCCTAAGTCCATAAATCAATGTTCTTTGTTTTTTGGATTTTTTTTTAAATAGAAATCCAATATTTATGTATCAGTGTATGTTTTTACAATTTTTAATATATACAAATGTCCAAAATACACCCTTTATTTACACTGACTTAACCTACTTAACAAGATGTTAGCAATTAATTTGATCAAATCTGTGAAGTTTAAGAAAAAGATTACCGTAGATGTGACACACATGCTTCCAGAGATGTCCACACAGAAAATAACCAGTGACTCATCTTTACCAGAGAGACTGCTGGAAGCAGTAGACGGGGCAGGCTCTAACATAAAGGTCACGTCATTAGTACCTGGGATTTCTTCCTCCTCTATATCTAACTCATTCTCCGTGCCACAAAACTCACAGTTCCAGATCTGATAAAAATAGTAATCATAATAAGAAAGAATTCTAAAAAGAAATAATACTTTGCTTTCTGGGTATTAATTTTGTTTATTATTTAAGAGAAAGAATCAGCCATAAAGATATTGTGATAATATCTATCCTGTCATACTGAATGAAAATTTAGATAGAATTCTTTACGCATCTCAATATCAGAAAAATAACTTCACATCCTATACTGCATGTTTGCCTTGGAAATTTTTGTATATTTGATCAATATTCAAATTCTCTCTGCAGAAAAAATTAAATTTTACTTTTGAACCTTTTTGTCTTCCCTGGAGGTAATTTTGCTCAGACTTGACAGAATGACATCACAGGAAGTGCAATGGACAGGGTCACCGGTGTGCATGTTACTAGGGGCGATGATCTTCTTAAAATCGATGGAGATTATGTTCGTGTCTGCACGTCGATGACGTTTTCCTTGCTGTGCACCTTCTTGTTTGTCTGTAGCATCTTAACAATCAAAAATATAATTCAATATAAGTACAAAGTGGTCTGCGTAAAGCATGCTGCATTCAAGGTCATGCAACTGAAAATGGTGTACTGACTTCATCAAAAAAAAATTCTGATTTATCCAATGATGAACCTTAAAATTTATGTAGTTTTTCTAAATTAACACTAATTACTGTAAACGTGGTTATTTTGACGAGTTGAAAAATTGACTATTTTTTGTTTACGAAAATTGACGAGTGTTAATTTTGACGAAATATTGACTCAAGAGTTATGTATATCTTTGATTTCACAAGATTAAAACAAAAATGAATACAAAGAACTCCTAAAAAAACAGTTTCAAAACTAGTACTCAGAGTAAGTTCACCAGAAGCTAGAGGACCAAAAACTTGATGGAAACATTGGCTTAGTTTACTAGAAAACGTCTACGATTAAGCCGTTCTGTGCGAGTTCATGATGTTATAAGCATGCAAGGACCGCGACTTCTTTGGGAACTCATTTACAAGCGTTCTCATCAATAAAATTTAATTTTGCTTGCAAAAACCATCTACAGTGTATAAGATTTGATTGAATTAATTGCTCTTTTGTACTAGTCTTTGTTTTCATTATACGAGACCGATTGCCTGAGGTGACAAAGTAGGTCAAACACGGCGTGTTAATTACTCAGTTAGAATGTTGTGACCATGGGTAATAATAGTATATGACATACTCAACGGTTTTTAAAACTGTGATTATATGTTTTCATAACTGTTTACAAAAAAATTAAACAGTAACTTTGATCTTGTTTTAATGGGGGAAGCCGAGAAAATTAAGCGATAAAGTTGTACAACGGTCAATGTTTGGTGTGACGCTATATATATGATATGAAGTTTGACGAGTGGAAATTTTGACGAGAAAAGAAAAATCGTCAATATAGTCAAAATTAGCACGTCGTCAAAATTTCCACGTTTACAGTAATCAGAGATAGACATAAACTTCAAGATTCACTTGCCCTTCGGGCAAGTAATCTCAAACTTTGACTTGTCTGAATGCAAAACTTGGTTGCCCAAATTTCAGAAAGAAGAAAATAATTTATGACTGTAAATGTTTATATGATAAGAAAAAGTGTGACTAGATACACTACTGCCTATTTGGCAAGTTAGCTACAAGGAAAAAAAATCTATGCTATGTTTGTACATGAATGTTTACCACTGTTCTTGTCAATTTGACCTGAAAAACACACACTGCCATGCAGCAATAGCCCCCCTTCCCGTTTAATAAAATTTATATTTTTAAAAATCATTTTCGGTAGGATCTGTTGTGATTTTGATTTTCAAGAAAATTGAGAAGCAACACTTAAGGAAGACAGTTGCTGGGAAACATACCTGTTACAACCTTAATCAGGATACATGTATGTTTTGCTACTTATTTTAGTAAGTGAATAAATAATATAATTTCCTAATAAGTAGGTTACAAAGGTGTTAGATGAGAGCCTATTTATCATGAAAGAAAACATGAATTATAACGAACCCAATTCTTAAATGAACGGTATAATCTAGAAATGCTACCGAGGGATTCCAAATGTAAAAACAATGTCAGTCACGTACCCGACAGAAATCAAGTTCAATTAATTGTTTTATTCATAAACTAGATAATAATATACATTTCTATCAGAAAAATTCACTTGCCCAATCGGACAAGTACGTTGACAGTTTCACTTGCCCGAACTGAGAATTTACTTGCCCGGGCAATCGGACAACCGTTAATGTCGATCCCTGTTAATAGGTTGTCCAAACAGAGCAATTTATAGGATTACGCAATTAGTCAAAAAAGCAAAGAAGATTAACTTGATGCACTTTCAAGTTTCAATTATAATGTAGGTTTTTGAATATACTTACAACATTTATGAGTTTCTCTCCATTTTCCAACTTTCTTTGCTCTTGCTTTAAGTTTCTTTGTTTTTTCAGCAGCAGGGGGTGTTGATTTTGTAGACCTTGCCCCAAAAAGACCTGCAAATAATCCAGGTCTTTGAGCCTTAGGGGGTTGGGGAGGAGATGGTGCTGGGGGAGGAGGAGGGGTTGAGGAGGGACCCGATCCTGACGGGGAAGAAGAAGAGGGCGAACCTATGTAACAGAAAGACAACAGTTACAATGAAATTACACAACCACATATATACAATTTAATAAACAATTTACTACATTTTTAAAGATTGACAAGATCACTATAAGAATTCACTGTACAAAAAAATCAATGTTTTAATTAAACACAAAATTCATTCTTGTCGAAATATACAGCCCCTCACACAGTTTGAAGTATATATTTATTTCATGCATGTTCAACTCTTTAAAATCTTCAGCTCCCCTGTTAATATGTTTTGTAAGATTTTTTACTTCATCAGCAGTAAGGACAAATACATACATGTATGTAATTTAATCATTATTATTTGTGGAAGTTAGAATGTTTATATATCTGACTGATCTAACAAAACAATTGAATTACTTAAACATTTGTTAAATGTAGTATAGTGACTATACAAAGAAACAACCTCCTCTATGTAAAAGCTCTTCATTTTCTTCCTCATCACTGCTGGAATCACTGAAAAAAGAAAGAAAGATCTAAATCAATATAAACATGTACAACATCTTAGTAGAGTCCTCCATCTTTAACTTAAGACGAGATCACCTGTGGGTATCTGATGATGAGCAGAGGCAGGAGAGATGAATTAATGCAGGAATTTGTTTGCTGCTTTGCATGAAATTCTGTTTAAGCACCATTAAAAAATAAAAAAATAAAAAAAAAAGTGGGGTTGGGGTGGGGTGGGGGATGTCAGAAGAATTTGGTATTTGTAGGTAGTACAGAAACATGTTAAAATGAAAAATATTGAATTTTACAACGCTATCTGGTTGCAGAGAATTAGGGTTAAAATCAGTTTTGTTTTCAGATAATATTTTATATGCAGACTGTGGAAAGTTTTTATTTATTTGTATTGTAACAGAAAAGGAGAAAAATTTATGGCAGGACCAGGAATCAAACACTGGACCCCTAGCTTTCTAGTCAGATCATAATCTAAGCTAATCTGGCCTGTATCTATGGTTCATATAGCCCAAACCACTACAGTATTTTAGATACGGAATAATACTCAAAATATATTTTGTCAGTAATAGTGATAAAATACACAAAATATGTGTCATTGAAATTATAAGAACAGGGTCATTTCTTACATTCCAGGACAGCAGTAGATAAATAAAATTTAGAGACAATTATAAGGAGCTCCACATACAATTGTCAGAATGACTTATTATTAGAATCTAAAAGAAATAAGAATTATGCTTCATTTCTAATCATTCTCCATTGTATCCATTCATCTTAGTGTAATCTTTGCATTTTTTCCACTATATACAGTTGATCTTCAGTATCTCATATACCATGGAGATACCATGAGACACACGAAATCACATCTTTATGAGAAAAAATAACTCTGTAGAATAAACTTTTTACAGAACTATAAACACTGAAAAACCCCTCTCTAAAGTCTATATCTTCTTTCTGGGAATAAACCACTTATCAGAACTTGGAACTCTATAACATACCTGACGCTCATCCCATGGTCGTACTCCTCCTCTGAAACCACCTCAAACTCAGGCTCTGCGTACAAGAATACCTTGGGCGACGCAAAATTCATTGCCGAGTCTGTAAAAATGAAAGTAGAAATTTAGTGAATATATAGGGCCTGCCTTCATACATTCACGCTTTAAATTACATTTACACAAAAATATACCTGTTATACCAGATTTAAGCACTAAAATGTGGATATATCAATGTTCCTTAGAATGCAACTCAGCAAAAATACATTTTTAATAATGACGAATCGTACATAACGTAAACAAAATAGGGAAATCCCTATTCTTACCACTTCCGCTGTTCTATCGAAAAATAGTTCCAGATTAACAGATAAATTGGTTCATAGTTCATGTCTCATAGAATCATTAAAAACAAATAAAAATGTTTAAATGATCATATTTAGATGGTTGCAATTCAATATTTTTTACAATAGATTCTCGTTTTGGAATCCCGAGTATGGGCGAATTAATTTTTATTATTTACGTCATTTCTATAAATAACATTTGAACCAGTTCCTGTATTGCACCATCAAAGGTGGATCTTGAAATTTTTCGATCCAATATAAACATCTAACTTTTTTTTCATCTCTTTGTGTGTGTGGGTGGGGGAAGGGGAGGGTATTAGGAAGCTATAGACCCTCTGCATGACAGCCGTCTCCCGCCTTAAAAGTTACAGTATAAAATCAACCTTGACGAAAAACATGCTCCCTTTTACAAAATAAACAAACGTTTCAAGGCGTTCGGTGCACTTATTACTATTTGTCATTATTAAAAATGTATTTTTGCTAAGTATCTTTTATAGATATCAAAGAAATTTTCCTCTCGTTACTGGCAATTATCGCGACCTAGCTGATATCCTTCTGCTATAGTGTTAGTTAAATTATTAATTTATTTAATAATTCTATACTTCATATATGTTTTTATATAATTTAATTATATTCAATCAATGCTTTGCAATATAAACATGATAAATATTGGTTGGGATTTTGTAAGGATGCGTTTTATTGGTTTTATAGCTAGTTTCCAACCAAAAGTTCTTTTTTTCTGTTTTTTTTTTATTTTTTGGTTTTTGTTTGTTTTTGTTTTTGTTTTTTTGTTGTGTTTTTGTTTTGTTTTTGTTTGTTTGTTTGTTTGTTTTGTTTTGTTTTGTTTTGTTTTGTTTTGTTTTTTTTGTTGTTTTTTTTTGTTGTTTTTTTTTTTTTTTTTTTTGGTTTTTTTTGGTTTGGTTTGTTGTTTTTTTTTTTTTTTGACATTCTTTGTCCAGTCTTTGACCAGGGAGCGTTTATTTGCTAACTTTTCAAAATTATCTGACATTTGACTTCTTGGTTTAAACAATTTTTATTCAAAATAATGAATCGATTGGGTAACAGGCAATGCCAAAGACATTTGACTTCTTCTCTCTATTAAGCTAAGCTAACATTTATATACTAATTTTGATATGATTTCTAATATTTTATTTAACTGTAAAGTCTGTAATTCTGCTAAAGTTAATTCCATAGCAGTTGTGCAGTAAGAATCCGATTTGTGAGATAACAATTAAAAAATTATTGTTTTATATAGACAGTAGATTTTATTTAGTCGGTATATAAATATTTTTATGATGTTTACTTATGTAAACTAGGCACTATGATAGATTGTAACTCTCTGATCTTGATATTCCGAGCCTTATTACTAACTATAATAAATGAGAAAGTCTCAATCCCATAGATTGGTATGAAAATAATATTTTTATATTATTTTATTACTATTTTGAAGAAATGAAGTCTATGTATACATTATAGTAATTAATGGATCAGTTTTGTTGTATAAATGTTTTATTATTTTTTGAAGCGCAACGTTGAAATGGAGAATTGATTATATGTAATTCATGGGAAGAGGTACCTCCCTTTATGCAGGGGTAATAACTATATTAATATACTCTAGTAGATTATATATATTAGATTATTTTATTCTATATATTTGCAATTTTTTATTATAGTTTTCAGGGAATTCATACAATCAAGATTTTCGATTTGATGCATTCATATTCATTTGGTCAAAAAAAGAAGATGTCGAACCTTAATTATGATTTCACCATTGATAATAAGACACCGTTAAACGCCGTACTTTAATTCCAGATGACTTTTGGATTACAGTAACAAGCAGGCGCGTTATATTTATTACAGATACCAAAGAAATTACTGCATATTTGAGATCTAGATGCACAATCTCATTTTCTGTAAAAATAGACCCAGGTGGTAATCACTAAAGAACATCCTTTCAAGAATGTCCATATGGAATTCTCTTTAGACTTAGCTTGGGATTGTTTTTTAACAGATTTGCCCTCCAAGTTTTGCCCGAAGTTCTGAAAGTTAGGACTGTCTGGCATTACTCAACTTGTGGGCTGCAATCTTGTTCTACATGTAAAAGATGAAGCATCCTGTATCACACCCCTTTTCCGGTGTCATTCAAAATAGTTGCACTGTCAAAATACTATCTTCTTTTAGAATTATATATTCAAAAAAAAAATCCCACAGCTGCCACCAACTGAAACATTTTTGAAATCTGAGCGATTGCTACTGAATCAAGTCTTCGATTAGTTCTTAACGGTATATCTTTGTTTTTGCCCCTGTGTCACAAATATTACATGCATCTTGTGTTTTTAGCAGGAATTTTAGATCTTTATAGATTTAATGAAAACTAATATAAGAGTTTGTTTAAACGTGAGTATTAACAGTATTCAATACTTAGTACATTGTAACAGTTTACTTCCAAAGTATTAGCTGAATTATTTTCCTCTAAAGACTTGATCTTTTTTTCCTCATTCTCTTTCTATGTACCTCTGACACCTGCTGCACCATCGTTTGACCTCCTTGTTACATATCATGTAGGGCATTAAACTCTAAATTAAAGACCTGCTGCACCATAGTACCTATAACAATTAGGGCATAAGCAGGTCAATGATTGGACTTCAGTATTAGGGCACTGATTAGTCCCCATATCAAGTTCCTTTTGTATAACAACATATTTATTTCGTTACTTGTTAAAACAAAAACACTACACTAGCGTATTTACCCGTTTACTCTCATATTTAAGTACAGGTTCGGATTTTTGCTCCAAATTTCTATGCACCACTTCTAAGGGAGTCTTAGAAAGGACATATTCTTTTTTATTATTTTATATGAAAGTTCACTGTGTCGCATGTCAAGCTCTGACTACCAAAATACAACTGATGTGCAGTTTTTTAACACTTAGAAAATTAGGAATCCTATAATTACTGCTTTTTAACTTACAATGTAGTTGACTATACGGTCAATTTAATTCGAAATATAAACAAATAACAATTCCTATTTAAGAATAAATATTATAGATTGGAAAATGTGGAAAAAGGGAATTTTTATTTATTCTTTTTCTGCTTTTTTTTGGGGGGGGGGGGGGTAATTATAAACTCTTAGTACATAAATGCACTCTTTAATTTTAATTTGTTATCGACCTACAGACCTGAAATTTTGGAGAAAAGCCTTGAAAAACAATCGATAAAAAGTTGCCAGTTCTTGCTTTCATTGACAAAGTCTCTACTGTTGGCATGACTTAATGAAAATATTGAGCTTTTTTTCTCTTTTTGTATTTTGTATTTTGTTTTCTTGTTTGTTTGTTTTGGCTGACATTGTTCCAGTCTAGCACAATGATAAACAAGAAGACGAGGAACCGAGTGCATACCAAAACCAAATTACAGTATTTGTGATTATTAGATCCGCCTTAACAAATAATGTGGGATAAAGTATATGTCTCAATTTTCATTTTTGAACTTCGAACTTTGAAAATAAACAATGCACTTTAGATTCAAAAACTGACAATAAACCACGCTAATTAAGGATGATAATTAATTTCAGTGTTGAATTTAAACTTCTGTTAACTGCAACTGTGCTCAAACACGTACAAAATACAACAAGAATGGCTACCTTTTGTATAAAATATTACATACATATACATTTTTTATTTCCTTGGAAAAAGAGTTACTGCTTCAAAATCATAACTTACTGTTACATATACATGTTGAGTTTTCAGCAAGAGTACTCGATGTACAGATCCGTAGAACGCGGGGGGTGGGGGCAGGGGGACCACCCCCACTTATTCTGAGTATAGTATTTTGCTATATAGTAAATTATCCTTTCTATGTTGGTTGCCTCCCCCCTCCCCCCCCCCCCACACAAACACACCTTTTGTTGCAGTTAGGTCGAGCAGTGGCAAATTCCAGGATTTGGATTTTTTTTTTTTTTTTTTTGGAAGTTGGCCCCCTTACTTTTGGTCTTGTTTTGTTTTTGTTTTGCTTTTGGTTGTTGTTTTTGTTTTGTTTTGTTTTTTATTTTTTTTTATTTTTTTTATTTTTTTTATTTTTTTTTTTTTTGCTTGTCCACTTTCGAAACCTTTGCTACGGGCCCTGATGTATATATACATGGAGGCATAAAATATACCTGCGATTTGTCCATAGATTTTCACTGCCAACATGTTTTAAATAAATTAAATGGAGATATTGAAGTTTATTTTGTTCGCTTGTTTTTTTTTTTTTTTTTTTTTTTTTTTTTTTTTTTTTTTTTTCTCAGTTTATCATAAGAATGCACAAAAAGATGAGGAAGAAAATTAATTCCAGAAACCACGTTATTTGTGATCAATCAATTGCCAGATTGTGATTTTATGCTCCCTTGCAATAATTGATAATCCATTGCTGTGAGGACTGAAAAAAGATATATTTGAAAAAATTCAAAACATTACATCGTCCATGGAATAAATGTGTGAAGATTTAAAAGACACTTCCTTGACTGTATAAACAGATCAAAAACAAAGGTCACAGCGGCTAATTGTATTCGGCGCGTCGGCGCGCCAGCGCGTCCATCTCAACCCGATATCACAAAAGTATTTTCTCCCTGCATTAAAACACTCAAATGACATCGATTTTCTTTATAATTTAAGCATTATCGGTTATATTCAAGTCGACAGCCCGAGCCCGATTGTATTTTTTTGTTGGGTGGATCCAGAAATTTTTCCCTAGGAGGTGTTGGCTCAAATCGCAAGGGGAAGAGGTCCAAGGCAAAGCTTTAGTAATTTTACTATGTCAGTTCAAATAAATTTGAATTTTCCAGGGATCCGGATCCCATTTGATCCATGCATGCCTTATCACAATTTGTGCTAGAGTAATCCGAAATATACCCCAATTTTTTGAGTTGGCCTATACTTTCAATTCTCTCTCTCTCTCTCTCTCTCTCTCTCTCTCTCTCTCTCTCTCTCTCTCTCTCTCTCTCTCCAAACATTAACTATATACATGTATAGCATTTAAAAATATTTAGTGCTTTGGTTTTTATCAATTTTCTTTATGTATAACAAAAATTTACCGGTATTACGTAATGACCCTAGACATTAACTATATACATGTGTAGCATTTAAAAATATTTAGTGCTTTGGTTTTTATAAATTTTCTTTATGTATAATAAAAATTTACCTGTATTACGTAATGACCCTAGACTCTAGAGTTCAACCCCCTTTTTAGAGACTTGATTATCATGGCACCCCCAATAATAACATCCTACCGGGTATTACTTTTTTTTTCTTTTGCTTGTCAAGGAATTTTAAGTTTCCGTGCCTTGTGCCTCCTGCTCCCCCTCCACCAGCTGAAATTGCCTCCTATGGACCTGGATTGTCGTACTGAGCGTAAGGAAGCGTATAGATTTATGACTTCCAAATATCAGCTGCAAAAATATTAACAGGGAAGTTTTTCCCGTCCATCTGAAGGACAATTTTAAATAAAGCATTGAGCCCAGGCTAATTATTATTTCCTCGATCTCCAGGGCTAGTCAAATATATATAGCAAATGAAGGAGAGGAAACGGATCAGGCGCTGCTCCATTCATTTCCTCGACAACAATGGGTTATTTTTAAATTATAAATAGAAACTTGATAACATTATTCATGCATGGTCATCTAGGCGGAATTTCCCTATTGACTTTAAAATCATCTGCTTCAAACTGAAAGTAGGCTCTATCCAACATTTTCCTTCCCTGAAAGAATGGTAAATAAAAGAAATGACTTCAACTGAATAAAGAAGTCTTCCACTAAACGAGAGAATGGAAAAGATTGGTGAAGAGAAACACATTCATCAAAAGTCTACACCCCCCGATGACGGCAATGATTCTATAGACGACACGTCTCCTCTGATTTCGTTGTCATCAGACCGGTCAGAATCGATGGGGTGGGATGCGATAGAAGAGTGTGCTGGAGTGACTTTTTCTGTGTCTGCGATGGGGGGAACAGAGAGACAAAGAAGACTAAAGATCTCTGAGGCATCGACAACAGAGGAGTGGATCCAACAGACGGTGTCTGCAATGCCACCATGTATATATAAGTATAATATTTTCATAGTGGCACGTACACTTTTAAGCACTTCTTGGTGTACATTGTAATTTCACTAATTTTCATGTGGTCAAATAATCGTGATTTAAGGAAACATTACTAAATGTAGTTCGAGGGGATTCAGACACGCATAGTTTTCAGGGGGGGGGGGGTGGCTGCCCCCTCCCCACTTTTTCCAAATAATTTTTATTTTTTGCTTGCCATAGTTTTTCAGTCTAATATTTTTCTGGCTGCCCCACCCTCCACTATTAAGATACAGCGTGCCTGAAATTTGATTCGTGGTTAAAGGAAATCATTTTGCAGTATGGAATTGTAATATTTTGTGGGGGATATAAATCTGTAGGTCTCTCCATATCACGAAAACAACGAAAATTAATCTACCCCTCCCCCGAAAATTGGCGATTTCACAGGATCCCTTTATAGTGTATAAAACATATTCTCCTTAAAGAAGTGGACCGGTATAACTTACATCCACATTAGGCTAGTACGTATGTCCAGCAAAGAGAAAAATAAAAACCTCGAAATATGAACTCCAAGTCTGTGCTTTAACTGTTTATCTCTAGCTAGTACTGACCTTTCATCGAAAGAAGCCTTTGTCTTCTAAGTGTAAGAAAAAAAAGTTTGTTAAAAAAATCATTAGTTTATGTCAAAGTTTTAAGATTAAAGAGTCTCTTGAGACCTTATAAATCGAGGCCCCGTGTCGCAGTAGATGCTGGCATGAAAAAGATCCATCACTGCTCAATGGCCCTGAGTGCCGAGTATAGGTCAAAATTTGCAGCTCAAGTGCTGCAAATGGTGCTCAAGCTCATGTGGTGGTGTCTCCATATGAGTGAAAAATTCTTGAGAGGGACTTAAACAACAAACAAACAAAAATATCTTTCCTTAAATAAACACGTAATCACTAGCTAGATAACCTAGCTCTACATCTTGTAGGTGATATTTGCGATGTCTGTGAAAAGAGTTATCCGCATCACGAGTCCATAGAGTTCTGGAGGAGTATTGACGAGTGTTCAGATCTTCGTACACGATGTCACAAAAAGGTCAGATTTTTGTACCGTTCTGCCTGCATGCTTTTTGCGATTAGCAAATCTATTTTTAATAAGATTCCAAGAATACAACTTTTCTGTGCATAGTTCATCGGAGGTAGAAAACTCACATATTATCGTAGCCACGGATATACACAGATCACTCAATCCTACACATGATATGACTGGGAAAAGATATTATGCAATAAATCATCAAATTAGTTTTTAAATTTAAAATAAGCAATAAAAATAGGAATACAGTTGTATTATAAGGTAGTTATATATACTGGTGCATGGTACATGTACATGTAGTTCTCATCATACTCGAATCCTTTGAATATCATCAGATCGAAGAAATTTAAGTCATACAAAATGTACTATTAAAAGTAACAAAGTGAAAAATAGTTCATTCAAGAAATTGAAACGCTTGCAATAGTGAATGGTGTTCTGTTATTATTAGTTAACCAATCATTTGTTATTTGCATTTTTTTTTTTTTTTTTTTTTTTTTTTTTTTTTTGACATGATAGACCACATTACTTATTTAGATTGTACTCATAATTCAAATGCTGTTTTTTTCCGCTTTTTGTAGTTCTATAAAAGACTTATCCAGAGATTTCGGGAGGTTTTTCCGGAAGAGGCAGCTTTACGAAACAGTCGGACAATGAATCTTCTGAAAAACCTACTTCACATAGAGGGAACAGGTACTGGTTAAAGAACACACACATAAAGGGAACAGGTACTGATTAAAGGGCGCACATAAAGGGAACAGGTACTGGTTAAAGAACACACATTAAGGGAACAGGTAATGGTTAAAGAGAACTCAAAATGGGAACAGGTACTGGTTAAAGAGCACACATATAAAGGGAACAGGTACTGGTTAAAGGGCGCACATAAAGGGAACAGGTACTGGTTAAAGAGAACACATAATTGGAACAGGTACTGGTTGAAGAACACACATAAAGGGAACAGGTACTGGTTAAAGGGCGCACATAAAGGGAATAGGTACTGGTTAAAGAGAACACATACGTGTAAAGTGAACAGGTACTGGTTAAAGAACAAAGAGGAAAAAGGTACTGGTTAAAGAGCACACATAAGGGAAACAAGTACTGCATGGTTAAAGAGCACACATAAAGGGAACAGGTACTGGTTAAAAAGCACACATAAAGGGAACAGGTACTGGTTAAAGAGAACACATACGTGTAAAGGGAACAGGTACTGGTTAAAGAGAACACATAAAGGGAACAGGCACTGGTTAAAGAGAACACATACATGTAAAGGGAACAGGTACTGGTTAAAGAGAACACATAAAGGGAACAGGTACTGGTTAAAGAACACACATAAAGGGAACTGGGACTGGTTAAAAAGCACACATAAAGGGAACATGTACTGGTAATATAGAGAGAACAGGTACTGTTAATGAACTGTTAATGTAGAGGGATCAGGTACTAGTTAAAGAGCAAAGTGATGTTCTAAACAAAAAATAATAAAGAAAATATTGCAAAATTTTGAATATAAAAGTCATATCCCATGGAAATGCAAACTTTGGGTACATGTATAAGTAATAATGTTTCTTAATCAGATGACACAGTTGAGGTTTATTTTGACAAATTTGTCAGAGTCCTTAAATTTTTTGGACCAGTGAAGCTTTCTGGACAGCGATGTATTCTTCTAGAACAAGTAGGTATAATTGTACATAGTATCATATGGAGAAATGATGTACAGTTTATTCATGAGGTTGCTCCCACGTGATTTACTTCTCATTAATATTCATAAGATCCTGCATAGACTCGAAATATTCCATTTCTTTAAATTTTTATTATAAAACCTGCAAGCACAGTTTGTTTTGTTTTTTTTAAAGCCTCCGTCATAGTTATTTGGGCAGAATTTTGGGTTATTAATAGTTGACAACTCATGAAACCACCTGTTTTGGTAATAAGTAGGTCACACTGATGCAAGAAATTACCGTTTTCAAATTAAAAAGGCGGTCGTAACTCTTTATGAAATGATAAATCATCTATATTTTAAAAAAATAGGCATTCGTCTGCACCTACATGTATAAATCGGCGGAAGAACTCTGTCAACTTGCAATAAACACTTACATTTAATCACCAAAAATGATAATGACACCAATTCTGTACTCTTTCCTTCATTAAAACATTATACTCTCGCTTCGGAATTTCAAATCAAAAAGGCGGTCGCAACTTTCACTTTGGCATCAACAATATTGTCATTTCCGGTAGAAGATATTAAGAAAAATCTAAACATCGGCGGAAGAACTTTATCCGAAATACTTAGAATATAAAATCTGCGGGTTTTTGTTCGTTCTCTATATAAACCTTTATGGAATCTGTCGCCATTATAGCTCCAATATGGCCGATATGTAACTGAGAAGAATGAACACCATTTCTCCATATGTGAAATATATAACTGATTGACACCTTTTTGTTGTACATGTACGAAAATAAAATAACTTTAACATCTTTTTTATTTAGTTGCAGCTTTTAATAGATAAATCATTGAGATACAATAAACAAAGAAAAGAGAAAATAAGGTAAATTCTGAAGTATTTTTAATTGCATTTATTTATTTATTTTTTATTATTATTTTTTTTATTTATTTATTTTTTTTGTGCAAGAATTTACGTGATATCTGTAAGAATTACAAAACATTACAATAAATCTATCCACACCCATTGCACTTGAAAAATTTTATAAACATTTCCGTAATTCAAAAATATATATAGATGTATTTATTTATTAAGCTTCAGAGTTTTGTTAAGTGTTATTAATACATTTTCCTTGATACTAATGTACTTAGTTGGTTTGCTGGTGATATGACTAGACAACAAGCAGAAAGCAAATTAAATTCAGAACCTGGTGGTACCTATCTTATCAGGTAAATGTTTACCTGCATGATAAATGTTAATATTTTTCATTAATCATAAAGGGCCGTTATTTGTACCTAAGGCACTGCCCTGCTTTTATATAGAAGTAGTTAAATCTTTTTTTGCATATAAATTACTTATATTCAATGCCAGAAAAGTATCTTTTTTACATTGAAATTTATCCACTGACATATGTTCCTAAATGTTAAATCCATGAAGTAAGTTAAATAAATAAGTGAAGTGAAATTAAATAAATTATTAAATAGATGAGAACGAAATGGATTTTAAAAAACACATTTTAAATACATGTATTATTTTGAAGAAAATATAAATTGATTAGATAGTTTGCTGTGCTGACTTTGTCTAATAAGACATGACTTAATTCTTTAAAAATGAATCACTTTCTATCATAAATGTCCTATGTTCCTATGTCTTTTTCAGGATGAGTCAAAACAACTCAGAACATGGAGATTTTGTTCTGTCTGTAAAACAGGGTGATGCTATCCATCATATTGAGATCAAAGTAAGCGATAACTAGATAATATGAAATACAATTATTTTTGTAATCACATCTCTCATACTGCTTAATTATTGAACATTTTTCTGTTGGAAGCAGATGAACACTATTAAATATTCCTAATTCTTTGTGATTTATTTAACATCTTAATTATGCTGCAGCTGAATGCCTGACCCACTCTATCTTTTCAATGAGGGTTAGAATTTTGGAAAAAAAATATATCATCCAACTAATAGTCCCACTATAAGCACCCCATTTCGTAGACAGTGAGAACAATACTGGATCAGAAAACTAGGTACCGCATTTCTGTATGGTTGCAACGACCACATACATAATGTAAGGAATCTTTTAAGCCCATAATGTGCTTGATGCGCAGTTTATGTGCAGTCTTTGACACCGATCATACAATAGACCAAATATACAATCATGTCTCTATTGATTCACTTTTACCTTACGTCAATAAACAATTATTCGCACTAAACTTTACTCAGTTCCCCTGAAAGTTTTGAATCGGCTATTATAAGAAGCTAAAGCAAGTACATACTTGGATTCTTCAGAATACAAACTAGTGATTGTCATTATGGATGTTTCTCAGAACAGTCTCTTTTAGCCGTGACTGTGTCGTAAGATAATAATTCTTAACGAACCCGTCGGTTCTTTAATCTTAAATTTGCCAGCAAAGTAATAGATGCTGTAAACATTAGTAACATTCTTAATCAGAAGAGAGTTTTTGTACTGCATATACCCTGTATGTCTTACAGATATTTCCACAATGTAGCTTGCAAACCTTTCAATTATTAAAAAAATCTTACAGCCTAGATAATGATTGATTGATTAATTGCATGTTGCTTTACGTCCCGTTCGAGAATTTTTCACTCATATAGAGACGTCACCATATGCCGGTGAAGGGCTTCAAATTTTGACCTTTGCTCGGCACTCAGGGCCATTGAGCAGTGAGGGATTTTTATCGTGCCAACGCCTGCCGTGACACGGGGTCTCGCCGTGACACGGGGCCTCGGTTTTTAAGGTCTCATCCGAAGGACCCGCAACTTTCACTTCAAAGTGCCGAGCCGAAGGAACAGTTGTTACCTATTTTTATCGACTTAGGTCGTCGCCCGCGTGGCGCAGTGGTTAGAGCGTCTGCTCTAGAGTCGCGAAGTGAGGAGTTGATCCTTACGTCGCGGGTTCGAATCCCACTGTGGGACGTGGAGACCGGTCCTTCGGATGAGACCGTATAAACCGAGGTCCCGTGTCGCAGTAGGTGCTGGCACGAAAAAGACCCCTCACTACTCAATGGCCGTAAGTGCCGAGCATAGGACAGAATTTGCAGCTCTCCATCGGCAAGCGTCTCCATATGAGTGAAAAATTCTCGAGAGGGACGTTAAACAACATACAATCAATCAATCAATCGACTTAGGTCAGTCGCGTTCGAAATTCGAACTCACGACCTTCCGATCACGGAGCGAGCGCTCTACCGACTGAGCTACCGTGAACGGTACCTAGATAATGAACCTAAAAACAAAACCCTCTTACTTCATCTTCTTTTTACTTTAGTCCCGCTGGACACGTCATAATTGATGATGTAAATATAGTTGAAAATGACGACCTAAAAGTAATCATTTAAGTCATAAATTCAGGTAGCCCCAATCTTTCAATTGCGGCAAAAACTTCATTCCTATTATGAATTCGGTGGAAGATTATGCCACATTTTGGGTGAAAATGAAAAAAAAAAGACCTGAAAACTTTGTCAGAATGGATTAAGTATTTTAGAAATATATTTAGAAATCATGGTAGAAAGTTTAAATGCAATAAACGAACTATCTGTCCCCCCATTTTCACTAAATCAGAGTTGATGAAATAATTAAAATGCATGAGCAATATGTTATGGCTAGATCCAGCTGACAAGGCTTGTAACACTAGATCGTCTTTGTAAGACTCATTATTATAACTGTATTTTAGAAAAAAAAAGTTTTAATTTTATTCTGGAAATCCTACAGCGTAATATTCACTGTTCACATTCTAAGTAAAATCACATTTCAGTTTTTAATGTTTTTGACAATCCAGTCAACAAAGATGAGTTCGATCTACCATACCTATACTGGATTCCTAAACTTCATAAAAATCCTAAGAAACAAAGATACTTTGTCGGGTCCATCAAGTGCTCATATAAGCCCATGTCTTAAAGGGTTTTTATCACGTTTCAAAATTTTTTGATATGGCAAAGTTTACATGCTATTAAAATCATATATATAAAAATCTTTGCTAGAAAATTAATATTTTTGATGTTTCAGCGATTCAAAGTTTGAATTTCTCAATATGCATATTTTGATCGCCGATGTTACGCGCCATTGCTCTGACGTCATAGGTGTCAATCCTGGCCAAGCGAAGTACTTATTGTGTATACAAAAGGGCTCATTTGTTGTGTCTATTAATCCTGTTAGAAAATAATTGAGAGATAAATGGATAATTGACAACTAGTAAGGTATAATTTATGGCTTTAGGATGCAAAAATGTGCACAAGAAAGGTTTTAGGAAGAATTTTTTTCCACATTTCATGGACTTGGTCGCGAGATGTTCTGCAAATGCGATGGTGTGTATCTCCATTCAGAACAATCGTTTATGCCCAATCCATCACGATTTTTTTTTTCTGTCCTGTAAAATATTTCAAGGAAAGATACCTTTAAAAAAAGTAATAAATGACAAACACGCATTTTTTAAAAGTCGCACAGAATCTAGTAGGAATGTTGTGAACTTCGTAATGGCGTACGGCGCCATTGAAGAAGTGTAATTTCTAGTCCATGATATTCACTGCTGGAACAGAGAGAAGATGTGCAGGATTTATTTATATATAATTAATTAAAATAATAATGAAGGAAAATTTAAAATTCCCATATTTATAAATGTTTACGAAGTTAAACTTTAGTAATTCGTTCTATTTAGTCGAAGTCCTGAGTTGTCAACGGCTTCGTCTTCGGTGACCTCTCCAGTTGTCGGCATATTTTCTGATTATTTCTCTCAGCTAGACGTTCATACATAAAAGATTGACCGTCCATAACCAAAGAAATATAGTCGATGTCAAAATTTCAACCGGTCATATTGCGTATTCTATTTATTTAGCGTAAAAATCCATTCAATATATTTTTCTTACGATAAGGTTTACGAGCTCCATTGACCATTGACACCTGTATGACGTTTCAGTACCACGTGACCCCTATCTAATTAGTGGAGATTTTTACTTCGAGGACCCTATATTACGGTCGTTTTATCGTCTAATTACGGCCGTTTTTAACATTATTTCGGAATTAAACGATAATTATATGTTTCAAGAATACAATATTTGTTTCATTTTTAAGAAATTTAGATACGTGATAAAAACCCTTTAACTACTCACAAAGATATTAACTGCTGTAAATGAGAAACTTCAAACTTACTATGCTACAGTATATTATAGAAATGATGTGAATCAAATGTGAATTCTCAAAAATTCCAAATGACTTTTAGAAAAAAAAGAGATGTTAGTAGAATTCAAACGTATGTTTTTTCGACACTTTATTAAAGCATTACCCACGATAAATTAAAACCTAGGCTTTTGATATCATAGACTACTTCTTTTATAAAAATGGAACTCGGAAATTTCTATGTCTTGTACTTGGTCAACAAAATTACTTTGTTAAAAATAACTCTGATTCTACACACAAATACTCTGAAGTTAAGTTAATATTAAAAGGATGCTGGGTTACCTCATTGACACATCTATGTACACTGTTTACATAGTCTATGGAGACGAGGTCTTTCCAAAAAAAAATTGGAATTTTGATGGGTCCTAGTATAATTGTGATCCTTTATTAGCCAAACTGTTTTTATATTGACATGCAGCAGAATCTATTCAATTATTTCTACATGAAAAGAAGAAAATGATTGCTGTGGTCTTCAAATCGTAATTCAGATATATCGACGACGTTTTATCCATTCACAAAAGTGATTTGCATTCATATCTCGACTCGATATATCTCAGTGAACTCGAAATAAAATACACCACAGAGTCTGCCACATTTGTTTCATATTTGGATGTTTTGCTGATTATAGACGATAAGGACAAATGATTGATAAACGAGATGAGTTCAGCTTTATAATCATCAACAGTTACTTTCCTTATATACATGTATGTAGTAATGTTCCGATATCACCTGCATATGGTGTTTATGTCTCCCATCTTATTTGATACTCATTTTTAAAACCTAGGTGGACTGCAGATAGATTAGATGATGTTACAGGGATTTCAACGACCTCGACAGGGGATGCTAACTCCATACCTTTTTCACTATATAAAACTAAATGTGACAACCTGCTCTCAATCTTGTCACTGTTCTATTATGGTACTACTTATTTGATTGTATTACAGGGACAACCTTTGAAAGCCTTTGATCAACAACCCTTTTCCAGTTGTTTGATATTCAAGGAGAAAGAATACTCTTCACTTATAGACCTAGTTGAGGACCTGAAATATGACTCGATAACGATCACTGGGGAGGAGGATGAAACAGAGGTAACAGAGTTGTGGTGCACTACCATCTGTCCGGGACTTCCACTTAATTCCGCCATTACCGGGTACAAGAGAACAAAGGCAAAGCAATAGGGGCCGTTGTTGTTTTAATGTACTGTTGACTATATAAATATTGCACTTTGTTTTATTTGCTCTTGATAAAATGTTCTCGTTTTTTTATGAATTGATCTCTTTTTTATGCAGTGAAAAGAAATGTCTCAATAATTTCCAAACAGCCCTCGTTATGTGTTTTCACGATAAGTTGTCCGGTAATCTTTGAATTATCAAGAAGAAGGTTCAAAACATTTTTTCATTTAGGAGCCTCAACATAATGATTCTCTGTAAGTAAAATATACAAAAGCAATTGAATGATACATTCCTAATGGTACTTATAAAACTGAATGCAACATATATATATATATATATATATAATCCTGATTTCTGGATTAGGGGACCAATGCCATGAAATCTGGCTTAAGTAGACAAAATTTATCTTTTTCCCCTATGCTTTGAAATAAAAACCAAATGCATTTTTGTTGGTACTTGGGCTTATTAATTACCATTCTAATGCTAAATTTTACAGAAAACTTGTAGGTAAAAATATACAAAAAAATTGGTCTCCCTAATATTTTGTAACCCTTTCACGTGAGTTAAGGTGACCAGTGTATATTTTCGTAAGTACTAAATCTGGCTTAGGTGGACATTTTTTTTTCTTACAGTTGTAAGGTTATAGTGAACTAAAATTTAACAGAGAATAGTTAAATGATTCAATTTAAGAATAATGTACGGTGGGAGCACAAAAAAAATTGAAATCTTGCAAGGCACGATAAACAGGAACGCCAGTTACAACATGTACAGCTTCTTGCTGAAGTTTATCAGGCCTTTCAGAGCAGCTGCGGAGATGCTGTTCCATATGCTTCTAATGCATATTCCAAAAGTGGTATCGGTCTTACATGTATAAATGTAATACTAGAATACATTTAAGCTAGGAAGTCAGGATACGTAACCCTTTTAATTTACGAAAAAGTGTAATTTCTTTGGAAGCCTTTTGTTAATACTGTCAGTGTGGTTTGTCCACTCCGCAGGGTTTGAGAATGTAAGTCTAAGATGATAGTGACCGAGAGAAGGATCGATTTGCTGATTATTCAACACTAAGTGCAATTATATATTTTATCCTCATTGCTGCAAAATATTAATAATTTTAGCTTGGTAATTGGGATTAAATTTCACAAGTCGCTTTTAGCCATTCTTCATTTATAAGTCGTGATTGCTCAGGCTTTCTAAGTTCTGCACGTTTTGAAAGGTGTTTGACGCGAATATGCATCATATGCCAATATTCTAGAGGTACCCAATAGACCACCTGGTAGGTATTGTATATCAACAACGAAAAGTTGAAGTCCAATAATAGAGCCCTGGGGAACTCTAACTTCCGTCTTTCTCACTAAATATACTGAAAATTTATTTTTGATCTGTTGCGATGGATTGAAAAGATTATTAGCCAACAAGGTAAGAACTTCACCCGCAAATCTATGTTGTCTCTTGTTCTTTTAAATAAACCGCATCGAATGTCTTGCTGTTATCATAAAATGCAAAACAAGTTAATTCGAATTCTTTATTGTTTAACACAAACCATTTATTATGATAAATTTCTTTTAACTGGGTGACTGTTTAATGATTTCTTAAAAACCCACACAGGCGCGTAGCTGCCTATACGCAAATACGCAAGTGCATACACATAATTGTAAAAAAAAATATAAATATAATGAATGAATGAATAAATAAAATCTATGGGAGAGAGAGAGAGAGAGAGAGAGAGAGAGAGAGAGAGAGAGAGAGTTATTCGAAGAAAAAATCTCAGTACCATCCAACAAACATTCGGATTTCGAATTGTTTTGTGTCATACTGCTGAAGAGTGCTTTGGATTTTATATAATCATGACTATATAATAAAATTTGAGGTCCTTTATTAAATCATTGCCAAATTTAAATAAAGCATTCATGAACTTGTATTCGTTCTTTGATACATTGATAATTTTTGATATTTTTTTTAAAGATCTTTGAAAAATAAAATTTCAGACACATCCTTGAATGTCATGATCTACTACATGTAGTATATGATTTGAAATACGATGTTTTTTTGTTCATAATTAACATTAAGTATACAAGTTTTTGAACGATAGAAAAGAGTATGATACCAAATATCGATTAGATATTTAGCCTAAACTACATGTACACTAAGTTTCCGTAGAAGTATTAATTTTGCGTTAAAACAATAAATATCATGTCTTCTATTTCAAAACAAAAGATAAATGACATAATTTTTATTTTGCGAGAAAATGAATGATATACATGTATTTGGTAAAACTCAGAAACTTCTGGGCCCTCACCAGCAGGCATGTAGTATCGTGGGGGGGGGGGGGGGGGGAAGGGGGGGGAGGAGGAGGGTTTCCTGCCTACACTTTTCCAAACCTAACTTTTAACTATTGGAAACGTTCACTGAAAGGGTGATTGCCCCCTTCCACTTTTTGTTGTAGCATAGTTAAAACATGCTAATTTGTTAATATTTTTAATATAGTTTCGATTTGTGAAAACTGGAAATAAACCCCACCCCACCCCCGTCGTCCTCTTCGTATACTTCACTTTTATTTGGCTACGCTCCTGCCATAATGTAGTTTGTATAACAATTTACAAATGTATTTGAACATTACTCTTTCAAGATTTTTCCTATGCAGCATAATAAGGATACCGGTATGTAATTAACTTAATGAATTTGTTTTAAAGACAGAAATCACATGAGTATGTTTCCAAACACCAGGGAATTGTCCGATACGCAAAAATGTTTCAAATAAATTTTTTAGCAAAACTGCAATTTTATTTCTAGTTATGGCTGAATATGTCGAGAAAAGGCTTTTTGGGATCTAAAATTTTAATTTCAATAGTTTGATACACACAAATAACACTTTAAAATCGTGGAGCGATGACCTACAGAAGCAAATATCGTAGAAAAACGTGTGTAAATAAAATTTTGTAACAAATTCAAGGTAAATTTTAGTAAAACAACACACAATATCTAGAAAAATTTTCATTTTCCTGCTGAATCTAATTCAAAAGCGCTATTGGTCTTTATAATTTTGAAATGTATAATATATAATAATGGGTATTTTTATAGGTACACAATTATTTAAAAGTTGCAAACAGTAGTTTCACATGCGCTCGTTTACTTACAGGCGTAAACTTTTCATGTATGGATGGAGAATTTACTCTTATTTTTGCGATGGGTGCACGTGCACTCTCAAACTGTTTTTTCAATTTTTGTAGTATTATCACGGACAGAGACATTTGTAAATACATCAGTATGATCATGAAATTTGCTTTTTCGAAGTACTTTGTAAATATACATGTTAGGACTTTCCAGTTTTTTCAATGAAATCAATTGATGCTGTATTTTTTAGACAATTGCAATATTTCTATTCTTATCTAAATTTTGTTATGCGTTCAGATGACTAAAAAATACATAAGGAGTAAATTTACTCGTATGTAAAATTTTATTTGAACCTAGCCTGACTAGATGTAAATGTTGCACTAGGAGTAAAAATACTCGCGTACAAAACTTGCTTATCCCCCCCCCCCCCCCGTTTGCATTCGCATGTATGTAAAATTTGCTCCGTCTGTAAATATACGCATGTGAAGGGGGTTTATAAATTTGGACATGAGTAAAATTCATGTAATAAGAAGACGTTTCTGTTTCCGGTTGCCTTCTACTTCTCAGCTCTTCAAAATCAAACAAATGTGAATTATCACCAGATAGAACTCCACGTGTTCATTATCATGGAAAGGGCGTGTCCCTGTTTTGTAGTGGAATCCCGTCAGCTCTTTGGCATGTTTTTTTTTTTTAAATGATACGCGTTCTATTTCCTTTGTGTGTGTGTGTGTGTTTTTCACATAAATTAATAATTTTCATTATATTCATTTTACAAACAAATTCCCATACAATTGCAAGTAATTAATAAGTTTTAATTTTTTGTGTACATTTCATTTAACATTCGGTCTCTAATGCCGCAATTCATTGTCAATGTTAATACGTCATTAAAAAAATAGTGGATGTTGCTTTTGTATTTTTGTCATTGGGATGGGGGTGTTATGTAAGGGAGAAGTCAAATTCTATAGACTGAAAAACAGAACAGGTACCCTTTCAACTCACGGAAAAACCTGCTCGTAAAGGTATGATTGTTGTATTATTCACCTACTTACATTATTTGTTTCTTGCAAGAATCGTATTTTGGACTCTATTTAAAAAAAAATGTTTGTGTAAATGTATACATACAAGTCATTTTATATATTTATATGTAATTGAAAATAATGTCGGATAAATAACTTTTTCAGCAACCCCTTGGCCACTTTCTCGCAGGCGATTTTCCATGATGTCTACAAGTTTTTAGTTTAAATCACTGAAAATTTCCTTGATTGGCGAAGAATGTAGCTTGATAATAATGAATAGTACTAAGTTTATTTTGTCACCTACATCTCAAAGAACACAATTCTCCCAAGGAACGAATATTTAGTGATTTGAAAAAAAAAATAATAATACAAAACTGATAGCTTTCGTATGTATTAAAAAGACACTTATTACTACATGTAGTACATGTATGTAACATGGCTGATCTATAGGATGCAGTTACAGTAAGGAAATGGGGCGCAACTGAACAAAAATCAAGTCTACAAACTTTATTTATGAGGGGCATAACCGTAATTTTGATACTTTTGATCTAATTATATTGTGTAGTATATCACGGCAAAATTAAAAGGGGGGGGGGGGGGACTGGTCTCCATGTCTCCCCCAGTTCTTACGAGCCTGATATGCGATTATTTTTCGACGACTTGAACTGAGAGACCGTTCGGTAGCGATCAAGCGGTGGAAGGTGTCGAAGTAGTCCAGCCCGCCCCCTATTTTTATTAAATTACAAGTATGTAATATAGTTAGCAAAGATGTGCAATGATTAATTCAATTAACTTCTATAATTTCTTTTTCTACCTTTGAAGTAATATGAAATATGATGCTTTGGGGAAAGAATAATCCACATATCGTATAAGGTAAACAAAAAAAAATGTTCAACAGACAGACCCAACATCGACGTTCCAATGTCTGTAACGGTCATCCTGAATTTTACAATGTAAGGCCCTTGGCCCACAACGCTCACCTTGAGTCACTTGGCCCTGCTGTTTCCCCCATATAGATGTATTCTTGAGTAAAGTTTGCTAAATTTCATCTTTCCTGATGCAGTGATTCTGGAGATTTTTTTTTATATATAAATGTATATTTCAATGTAAAACTTTGACCCCCTATTGTAGCCTTATCCTACCCCAGGGAAATGATTTAAACAACTTGACATCTACACTACCTTA